ATGCAACTGACAACAAAGCTAATTTTTTCAAAAGACTATTTTAAACAGTTTTAACTCAAATTAGATTCTATTCACTTCCTTATCATTACCCATGTACCAGTATAAGGTACTGAAAATGCAGTTCAACAAAAGTTGAAAGCTACTACTTTAGACTTTACTTTACAAATGTAGAAAACTGTTTAAATTTTCTTCCTATCCTACTGCCTTAAGCTTAACTCTCTCCCTCCTCTGTGTACATTTACATCACAGACACACAGAACTGCTCAGGGGGAGGGTAAGAGGTGGAGCATGCCGCTCTGACCAACACTCATTTTCAGTTTGTGTCTGACCGGCGAAAGTTTGACTTTGCCTCCACCGTCACACAGAGGTACACACACACACACACACGCACGCATGCACGCGCCTCTACAGACGCAGTTAAAATACTCGCATTCACGCACACACACACACAAAGAGCGGGCCCTCAGACACCATCGCGGCTGCCCTCCACTATTCCCTTTCTCACCTGGAAAATGGAGACTCCTACATCAGGATACTCTTCATTGACTACAGCTCCACCTTCAACCCAGTTGTCCCCAACAAACTCACCCACAAACTGTCCACACTAGGTCTGCACCCCACCCTCTGTGACTGGCTCCTGGACTTTCTGACTGGCAGGCCCCAGACTGTCAGGATTGGCAATAGGACTTCAGCCAGCATTGATACAAACACTAGCCCCCCCCAGGGATGTGTCCTCAGTCCCATCCTCTACACCCTGTTCACCCATGACTGTGTCACCTCCCACAAACACATCCTCATCCTGAAGTTCGCAGACAACACCGCAGTGATAGGTCGCATCACTGGTGGGGATGAAGCAGCCTACAGGAGGGAGGTGGCCATTATTGCTCATTTACTTTATATTTCACTTGTATTATGTGGCCATTCATGTGGACGGCAAAGTAAGAATTTCATTGTTGATGGAAACACGTTTCCTAACCGTGCATATGACAAATAAACACTTTGACCATTGACCAACCTTGTTTTCATCAATAACTGATGAGTCATTCACTCTACCCCATTTTCTCAGGGATTTTTTTGTCCCAGCTGCTGCGAGTTGTTTTTGGCTTGATCAATGAATTGATTAACCAGCTGACTGTATCAGTTAGAGAAAATAATGACTGAGCTGTGTGTTGCTTTGTGTATGGCAGCAGTGAATAATGCACAGTTGATTCCTTTTACTACTGTTTAAAGGCTATGATCTGCTAATGCCTGGACATAGGAACATAAGCTCTCACACTAAGGTGGCATATTTGAAACCCGTTAAAGCTTCAGGCATTGCCTAGGGCTTTTAGTCAGAAATATTCACTCAGTAATTGACCACCATGAACCTGTGGACAGAGTCCCTGCAGACCTCCCGCTGTCATGTTATTAACTCAGGACAAGGCCCAAATCCTCCCAACACAATAACAATCTACCGTTATAGGCAGTTCTCTCCTTATACCTTCAGATGTTGCTCTACTGAGAAAGTTTTAGAAGCCAATATACTTTGGCTCTTTGAGGAAGTGTTGTTTGGTCAAAAATAACCCATAAAAGCTGTGACAGTGGCCACGTATGACTGATTTTTGTGCAGTGTTTAGCTGATATTGGTTAACTTCCTAGGATTGGACTATAAGTTGGAATAAGTAGATCATTGACTAGAGAATTTTAAAATTGTGTCAGCAGTGTGGTTTTAATAATTAGTCATTACTACTTCACTCTTGTGGGTTTAATCACATTTAAACTAATTGTAGTTTAGTTTGTGAAATAACCATATGCACCTTTAAACATCACTTCATACAATTTCTAACACTCTACTATAGCTGAAAAAATAATGAAGATAACTTAATAGAATTTAAAAGTTTAGAAATTGAATGTAGTCAGAGGACACTGTTGGTCGTCGAAGGACTGAAACACCACCCAGTGGGTTAAACACCTCCTACTCACCACCAGTTGGGCAGAAGTGATGAAGCCTCTTGGATGAGAGGTGAAACATCTTCTACCTAGAACTACGTCCAGGTTCCTTCTAAGTTTTTTCAAACTTCTCAGGTGTGGACAGGTGAATGTGTTTGGCTGTCATCGGACAGGTGTGTGTGTATTTTGCTCAGTTTCTGCTCTCTGATTGGTTGTCAGGATGTTCCTGGGGACAACCACCGAGGAGACGGTGACCCGTCAGATCGCTCTGCTGTGGGAGATTCTTGGCATCAGAAATGACCTCCACAGAAACAACTACATGGTGGCTGTGTATGAGAACCCCAGTGTACCCCGCCATAGGAACGAGATTTGGTTCATCAGACGCAACCTGTAAATGCCTTCCCATCATCCTCTGCTCCTTCTCTACCACCTCCTGTGATTGGCTGGTTGGTTGTGTACAGACTTGGTTTAATTGTTTTGTTGAACTGACCAATCAGAGCAGGTTGTTGCCAGGTTCTGACATGAACCCCCACCCTCCCCTTCCTGTCCAATCAAAATGCCCCTCTCTGACTGACAGCCCATTGGTTCAGTCTCTAAAACAGTCTTGTGTCAGCATGAAATATTCTGTCAAATGTCTGTTTTGATTGGCTGTGATCTGTGCCAGTGATGTCCTGATTGGTCAGTTTTTCTGTCAGCAGACTGTGATCTACCTGGTAGTTTCCATGGAAGTAGCAGCTACGTGTCAGTTCCTGATCAGGGGCCTATTGCACAAAACTAGGATAAGGGATTAAGCCGGGATATCTTGGTGATCCTGGCTCAATTTATTCGTGATCCGGTTGCACTAAAGCTGGATTAGATGGCAGTAGGATGTTATGGTATAAATTACCATGGAGATTTATTCTGTGGAGCTAGCCTGCTCCAGACCAGGCTAAGTTCCAGGATTTATTTAATCTCATCCCTCATGTCAGTCAGCAGTCACCACAAACGGAAACCAATAGTTATTTCACTGCACACTATACATTGTTATCACATATAATTAGACCCACTGTCATTGTTTAAACGTTTGTGATCATTAATTTCAATCATTTTGGATAAATGATGATTTTTAGATGATGTTGCTATCATTAGATAATTTACAGTTTCCCATAGACTATAAGGCTATATATAAAATGATAGAATATTAGGGCCACAGAGGGACAACAAAGAAAATTCACAGACTTCGATAATGAAGTCTTTAATAATATTGTAACCCGTTGTTTTAGAGGAGGACAGTTGTTAAAATGACAGCTGTGGGGCATTTCGTGGAATTGTTCTTCAGTATGGTTCCACAATCAAGGACATACTTAATCTTTTGGCACATCAGCATCACATTGTCATATGTATCAGGACTGTAAAAAGAATATGCATCTTTTAGGGAAAAAAGAACCAGCCTCATAAATGTATGACTTTTTCCTTCTTCCTTAGTGTGGCCTTAATACTCTGTCATATAAAATACACATTCCATATAAATATAAAAACACAAAGTGTAACATTATGTTCCTTTATTGAATAAGGATAAAACAAAGCAGGTAAACCATCAGCTCCTTTCGAAACTGAAGTCACACAGTGACTCTACAAGATGGAAAGCACAAAATCAAAGCATATTATACAACAAAAGGATAAATACACATTCAAAAGGTCTGTATATAACACACCCCGCATGTCTGCACACTGAAATAAATGCAGGACAAATCCATACAAATCAACTGAACAGACAAATGAATGGATACAGCACAAACATAAGAGGCCAAATCAATAATATATATATATTGAACACAAAAAAACCCAAATTCCTCTGCCACCGCAGGACATATTTAACCAAAATTGAAAGCACATATACTAACTAAAATAATTCAACACATATTGGTCCCTCAGCAGCCGACCACTGTCGTCATCACAGCTTTAGTGCAACCGGATCACGGATAAATTGCGCCAGGATCACCAAGATATCCCGGCTTAATCCCTTATCCTAGTTTTGTGCAATAGGCCCCCGACCACTGTCGTCATCAGGGAAGATTGCCGGATTGTCCCAGTCCATGGCTGGTGGCACTCTGGGGGCCCTCTCCTTCCTCAGGCAGGCCACATTGTGGAGGACAGCACAAGCCACAGTAATGTCACATGCCCTCACAGGGCTGACCCTTAATTTGTGAAGGCAGTGAAAGCGTGCCTTCAGGAGGCCAAAGGTCATTTCAACTCTGGCCCTGGTCCAGGCATGGGCATGGTTGTAGGCCTGCTGTGCTTCCTGGGGGTCTGTGAAAGGTGTTAGGAGAAAGGACTGGCAGCCATACCCCCTGTCTCCCAGCAACACACCAGAGAATTCACCTGTCAACACAAAATCTCATCATTACTACCTCATAAACACAGTGATATTATTGACACAGTTTACATCATGATGTAAAACGTGGTTAATAGGGGTTGTGTGGCTCATCTTGTGATAGGCGCCGATAGATTTCAGAGGCCCGAAAGATTCTGGAGTCGTGGACTGAGCCAGGCCCTTTTGCCACAACATTGCTGATCACACAGTCAGCATTGCAGACGATCTGAAATCATAAGATGAGGAATATTAAACCAATCAATGCACATCACTGGCAAGGCACAGTGTTCATCAATGGACAATATCAAAAAGTTATGTTCACCTGAACATTAATGCTGTGAAAGGATTTCACCACCACAGCAGCCGACCACTGTCGTCATCAGGGAAGATTGCCGGATTGTCCCAGTCCATGGCTGGTGGCACTCTGGGGGCCCTCTCCTTCCTCAGGCAGGCCACATTGTGGAGGACAGCACAAGCCACAGTAATGTCACATGCCCTCACAGGGCTGACCCTTAATTTGTGAAGGCAGTGAAAGCGTGCCTTCAGGAGGCCAAAGGTCATTTCAACTCTGGCCCTGGTCCAGGCATGGGCATGGTTGTAGGCCTGCTGTGCTTCCTGGGGGTCTGTGAAAGGTGTTAGGAGAAAGGACTGGCAGCCATACCCCCTGTCTCCCAGCAACACACCAGAGAATTCACCTGTCAACACAAAATCTCATCATTACTACCTCATAAACACAGTGATATTATTGACACAGCCATGATGTAAAACGTGGTTAATAGGGGTTGTGTGGCTCATCTTGTGATAGGCGCCGATAGATTTCAGAGGCCCGAAAGATTCTGGAGTCATGGACTGAGCCCGGCCATTTTGCCACAACATTGCTGATCACACAGTCAGCATTGCAGACGATCTGAAATCATAAGATGAGGAATATTAAACCAATCAATGCACATCACTGGCAAGGCACAGTGTTCATCAATGGACAATATCAAAAAGTTATGTTCACCTGAACATTAATGCTGTGAAAGGATTTCCTATTCACAAAATCCGCCTCATGGGCACCTGAGGGGGCTTTTATCCTTATGTGTGTGCAGTCCAGTGCACCAATGACATTGGGGAAACCTGTCACACAAAGTAATGAGTATCCTACTATGAGTGTTACTAACAGCTGTCCTGTAATTTGTAGATCCTCTTACCTGCAATCCTGTAGAATTCCTCTTTGATGTCACAGAGTCTTCTGTGGCCAGGGAAGGAGATGAAGACATCTGCTAATGCCTTGATAGCCAGACACACGCTCCTTATTGTGCGGCAAATTGTGGCCTTGTTCAGATGTTCTGCATCCCCCACTGAGTACAGGAAGGCTCTACTAGCAAAAAGGCGCAAGGCCACACAAACCATTTGCTCCACACTCGGTGCATAGCTCCGTGCTGTGCGGTGCTTAATCCTGGGACCCAGCAGTCAGCACAGATACCTGATGCCATCTGCAGAAAACCTGTATCTTTCATATAGATGGTCATCACATTTAATCAAATTCAAATTAGAGCTAGTAGACAAGACATGCCAGGCCTACAGTATGCCTTTGATGGAGTACTCACTGGATCAGCATTGTCTGGTGCTTGTGCTGGTGGCTCCAACAGGAACACAGTGCTGCCAGACACTGCAAGGCAATAGGCAAACCAAAGTCAGACAGTGCAAATGGATTCAATATGAATGTGGTTGTGTCCCATGTAGAGATGGAAGGACATACCTTGTATGAAGCGGGTGGCATCTTGGGAGGGACCTATGCTTGTCTCTTTCCCCCCAGGGATCCCCTCCAACACAGGCCTGCCTTTATTAAGCTCCAAGGC